TTTATCAGACCCAAAGCTCCAGTCACAACGGGAGCGGTTTTAGGTTTTAAATACAATATTTTTAGCATTTCCATTTCCAGGTCTCTGTATTATCTTAGTTTTTCAAAATATTCGCTGATATGTTTTTGTCAATCAGTTCGAATCAGATTAAAAAAATAAAAAAATTAATTTTTCCTCAATTTTTTATTCTGTTCGTATTGTCTATAAATAATGATTTATATAGTTTATATCACGTTTTGAAACACGTATGCAATGTTTGATTAATGATTTAAATTCTTGGTTATCCATCATTTTGGATCATGCTGTCTCGAATAAAGTCACACATGTAGCTGGAGAAATATTTCGTTCTCGTTGTATAATACATCCTGCTAACTTTTAGGCTTAAAAATCTAAAAAAAAAAAGTTGAGGGGGGTCGTATTATACACGAATAATTATAGTTATATTTGGTCGGTTTAGATTTATCATTTAACTTTGAAAATTTTGTTAGAAAAACGTACATTGACATGTAGGGTAGAAATGATTTACTTATTTTCAAATTTTGAAAATTTGATCCACCCCCAACCGCGGGTCCTTCAGGGATAACGTCTGAGTCATTGGAAAATAAAATAAAAAAAAATATTAGTTGATTGATTTTAATTTGTCCAATTTGTTAAAGTAATGAATTTCAAATAAAATATGAGAAAAAAGATTTTTTTTTTGCCATGGATGAGTGTATATTTACATTTCTTTATTAACGTCATTTAAGAGAAATAATAAAAATATAATTAAGTAGAAAAAGAAGTCATTTATATATATTTTTTTTTTCTAAAATCATTTATATATATATATATCTTTGATAAAAAATACTGAAACGAAAATAACGGAATAATTTTTAAGATTTTTAAGGAAAGTCATTTTAGGAAATTTAATATATATATATATATATATATATATATATATATATATATATATATATATATAATTTAAAAGAAAAAACAGACCACTTTAAGGCTCCATTGTAATAATTTATTTCACCAGAGAATTTTATTTTTCTCTGGATCTTCAGACTTCACTTTCAAAAGGTGAAACGAAAAATGAATTTAAAATTTACAATCTGATGGGTAGTATTAAGCTTATATAAGTTAACACAGAGGGTGGTAGAGATGGTATGAGAGACATGGTCGAATTTAAAGAGGGAAAGGAGAGTTTTAAAATTTATTTTTATATTTCTTTTTATTATAATAGTTAATATTGAGGAAAGAGCGGGTAAGGATCAGCCATTGACCTATTTAATCGGTCAACTCAACGGAAATGATATTAGGAAAGGAAAAGGAGAAAAAGGGGGAAAAAGGAAGAAGTAAAGAGATAAGAAATGTTATGTAGGGTTTTTGGAGGAAGAAGAGGGGTGGTATAGCTGTTTTTCTTTAAATTAAATTATTCGCTCTGAATTAACATTGAGCTCTCAGGATTTCACCCTCCTTGGGATTATCCATACGTATTACTAAGATTTTCCTTACTTATATATATATATATATATATATATATATATATATATATATATATATATTCATTATTTTTGACATTATTGAAAAAAACAGCAACAATCAACCACATGAATCATAATGACAGATAGCAAATGAATTTAAATTTATAAAGGTTAAGAAGATTAAAAATTGTGCGAAAAACTTATCGATTGCGAGTAACAAAGATTTCTCGAATAGAGACTAACATAATCCAATGCCAAACAGATTTCGATAAACAACCAGAAATTAATGATAGTGATGTAATTAACATCGGCTATTTCTTATTATCTACAAAGCGAGTGTATTTTTAATTTAAGGGTATTTTTAAATTAGTTTCACCTTCCATAAGTGCGCAGTTTTCACGAGCGGGGACATTTCATCACCGCCGACACAACACCGCCAACTCAACACCGCTGATTCAACGACAGGGCTTATTTTTCAAAATTTTATCACAGCGAAAATGGAAATTCTTAGTCAAAGAGGAAACGAAACATTTGCACAGGACGACCATTTATTTGTATTTTAGGGCCCCAGCTATGGGCAAATAGTTAACCCCGAAACTAAGGTAAAAAGCATTATGAAAGTGTAAAAATAGGTTTTAATATCAGAAATACTTTGTAGAAGAAATTATTGCCAGAAATAAATTTTTGAAGAAAAAAATAACTATTACCAGCAATACGTTTTTGAAAAAAAATATTACCAGCAATACATGTTTTAAAATAATATTACCAACTATACAATTTGGAGGAAAAAATATTACCAGAAATAGATTTTTGACAAAACAAAAATATTATGAAAAAAAGTTGTCGGCATTAAATGACTCATTGAGGTTGATACGCCGTAAAACAAAATCCAAAAACCAAACAAAATGTTTTAAATTAAGAACAAAGGTTAGTTGTCCTGGTGTTGAGTCGGCGGTGTTGAGTCGGCGGTGTTGAGTCGGCGCTGATGAGCCATCCTGCACACCAGTTTTCACTATAAATATTCTTCCATGGAAATCTGAGAAATTTTAGACAACCAAATAATTTTTCAGTATCCTTCTGTAGAATCCCATTTCTGTTACCTTCAGTTTCCTCATCGCCGTTAAACCGATAATCGTGACCATCTTGAGGGTAAGCAGGTAAATAATCATGCTCGTTACGTAATTTTCGAAACGCGGGATAGAAAGGTTTTACTCGTTTATAGCATTACAGCCTTTTTTTTCTTAATGTTCACTCCCAGGCTTAAGAGGTAGAATGTTATTATGTGGTGTACGAGCGTGATAAAAGTAAGAAGGTGTAGTTGATGAGGTCATGTAGGGAAGATAACGGTTAAACGTAGACTTGAAGAGGTCAAGATTATGGTGATCAGGAAAACCTTCTGCCACAGTTCTTGGGAAGAAGTTATCCGAGTGGAGCTTACTTCTTAATAATGGAATACGAATGGAATGAGAACGAGTCATCCGTGTGTACTTGGCAGGACCGTTCCCAGTTGCAAATTTCAGGGCTTGTAGAACCCAGGAATGTAGCTCGTCAGAACATTTGCAATGAAATTAGCGATAGAGTAGCGAGAGGCCTGCGGCGTTTCGTCTTGTGAAGAAAGGGGTTGTAAGGTGGAAGATATTTAATCGCCTATTAAGCCGCGTAGACGCTTTTGAATTCTACCAAGACAGGCAAGTGAGGGCTGGGCATCCCCCAGCCTGGATAGGGTAGTAGTACTCCATTTTTGGTTTGATATGACTTTTGTATAGCAAGGAGGGGATACTTGCTTGTGCGGTACAATAAACCTACCATTTGACCAGCATTTTTAGCAAGAGATCATATATATAAACTGCGTTAAAATATTAGAGGTGTGCAAAGATATTCGGAAATTGTTTTATTTATAGCATTCGCTTTTCTTTCTTTTAGTATTTTTGAGAAAAGTGAACGAAGAGAACTTTTACACATGTCTAATTTATTAAAGTGTTCGTAATGAACGGTTTCGTAAAATTAATGTAAATGGGACATAGGTTTTATGTGTGCGTGTCCGTGTGTGTGTGTGTGTTTGCGTGCGTGTGTGTGTTTGCGTGCGTGTGTGTGTGTGAGTACATTTACTCTATTTATATGTAGAGGCGTGAATGTGCATCCATTTTTTCTAATTTCGTTTGATTAAGAGTATAAGGTTAGACTTAAAGATTTTTATATAATAGTAAGAATAAGGAATATATTTTTTTTTTAGGAAAAGTAATATAAGTGGTAAGGTTTAGTAATCGAATTATGGGATTAGTGTTTAAAACGTAAAAACATTGGATTAAACTATGTAAGAACTAGTCCGGCTTACCTCGTTATGTATTCCGGGGAAATAGCGTGAATCAAAACCGGATGAAGCAAAAAGACAAGACTATATAGGAGGGAAGGGGGAAAAGCCTTTATTTCATTGGCTGATGTTGACTGACGTATGTCAATAAGAACGGTCGGACTCTTAGCTATATCTGATTTTTTTTTTTTTGCACTGTAGAGGTGCGTAGCACGACGCTATCAAGAAGGCGGCCTGACTCTTTTAGAATCAGGTCGGAGTTGCTGTTTGAGCCGATATGATGCAAAATCCGAAATCACTGAAGATCATCCCTGATGCATCTGAAATGTATTATTCAACTATTACAAAATTGCTTCAGGGTGATTTTTACTCGTCTCATTAAAGTGAGCATGTGATGCAGTGTTTACGACATTAATGACCAGCGCTTTAACCTAAGAATTAGATTCCACAGTTCCTTGGTTTAATCACTGGATTTTTTTTACATAGCCCCTTGTTTTAAAACTTGTCAGTGTGTCTGTAATTTTATCTACCTGTTTGAGCAACTTTTTATAATTGCATTTGTTTTGAGAATTAAGGCGATGATTATCGCCATCCAACTACCCCACCCATCTAAAATCTGTTTAAAAATCACCAATCAATGATTTACATAATGTTAAAAATGCCTAATAAGATCAATAATGGTAATGTTATTTCCTTATATACGAAAGAATGCTGTGAAAATTTAGAAAATCTCAGCGAATGATTAAACAAAATACTTTTTTTTTAAAGGCATCCGTTTCAGTTACAACTCCTTCGTATATATTTGTCATTTTAAAGTTAACACGATGTAACAAAATTTTACAGCTATTATTATTATTATTATTATTATTATTATTATTATTAATAATAATAATAAATGTAGAACTAATTCCTGTAGTAATGGGTTCGCTTTGAACACCAAATAGAAAACTGAAAAAGCGTTCAGGGAGAATTAGTATTAAGACCAAGATTGTAGACTTCCAGAAAACTGCCAACATTTATTCTACGAGGATTCTCCGAAAAATTCTTCAGTTGTGAGGAGCCTTGCTGACACCATGCCACAAGAACAGAATTTCCATTGACTATGTCAATGAGCGACATCAACATAGTATTAATATTAATGGTGATGATGATGATAATAATAATATAGTGTTTAAAATATATTTATCGAGGAATGCTGAGATAAAGCGTTTTATAGGTGACAGTTTCACGCTAACACTATCTATCTATCTATCTATCTATCTATCTATCTATCTATCTATCTATCTATCTATCTAATTCTGTTCAGATCTATTTCTCTCTCTATCTCTATCTCTCTCAGTCTCTTCAGATTATCTATCTATCTATCTATCTATCTATCTATCTATCTATCTATCTATCTCATTCTGTTCATATCTATTTCGCTCTCTCCTCTCTCATCAGATTATCCCATCATCATCTATCTATCTATCTATCTATCTATCTATCTATCTATCTATCTCATTCTGTTCAGATCTATTTCGCTCTCTCTCTCTCCCTCTCTCTCTCAGTCTCTTCAGATTGTCCTATCTATCTATCTATCTATCTATCTATCTATCTATCTATCTATCTCATTCTGTTCAGATCTATTTCTCTCTATCTCTATCTCTCTCAGTCTCTTCAGATTATCTATCTATCTATCTATCTATCTATCTATCTATCTATCTATCTATCTATCTATCTCATTCTGTTCAGATCTATTTCGCTCTCTCTCTCTCCCTCTCTCTCTCAGTCTCTTCAGATTGTCCTATCTATCTATCTATCTATCTATCTATCTATCTATCTATCTATCTATCTATCTATCTCATTCTGTTCAGATCTATTTCTCTCTCTCTCTCTCTCTCTCTCTCTTCAGTCTTTTCAGATTATCCTATCTATCTATCTATCTATCTATCTATCTATCTATCTATCTATCTATCTATCTCATTCTGTTCATATCTATTTCGCTCTCTCCTCTCTCAGTCTCATCAGATTATCCTATCTATCTATCTATCTATCTATCTATCTATCTATCTATCTATCTATCTATCTATCTCATTCTGTTCAGATCTATTTCGCTCTCTCTCTCTCCCTCTCTCTCTCAGTCTCTTCAGATTGTCCTATCTATCTATCTATCTATCTATCTATCTATCTATCTATCTATCTATCTATCTATCTATCTATCTATCTAGTGTTGTATGATAGATATGACAAATGCTAGGCGTGAATATGTGATACTAGTTTACATAATCTGCAAATGTTTGATTTCTCCACGCGTTAAATATAAGTTTTATGATTTTTTACTGATATGAAGTGGTGTGTTTGGTGGATCTTTATCATCTGTTGAGTATTTATTAACACGTGTACCTGTGTGTCTATTTAGATAATTATCGGGCTTAATATTTGAGTATGTGTGTGTGTGTGGTTGGGTGGATGATCAGTACCAATAGAGGTTTTGGCGGTCAAATTAAGTTCAGACGAATATGCACCTTATAAGGAGTGAGTACACGTAGATTGGTCGTTGAGGCGCGGCATAAGTGGTCAAATTAACTGTCGCATGTAGTACTCTTTTACATTATGCTTTTACATTATGCTTTTACATTATGCTTTTACATTATGCTCATATTGTCGCTTTTGAGTCGAGAATCTGTGTTTCTCAGTCGCATGTTGGGTTCCTTGGTTGAGTGAGTATGATGAAACTAGCGATGAAAGCCATCACTGAAGGCCTGTCTTGGCGCATCTCTATTCGATTGTGCGTTTACAAGGGCATGTTTCACTTAAATCTTTAAGGCAATGTAAAACAGATTGATTTTATACAAAAGAACTGAATTGCCAACGACTCAACTGAATCGGATTGTATTTCTCTTCTCAAAACAAAATATAGTCGATCAACTAAAAATGAAAGTTTGGTTTTCTTTTTTTTAATTTTATTCTGTGTACAATATAAATCATATTATTCATCCCTGTTGCCATTAAACTGAAATATATAAACAACATGGCTGGCAGTAAAAATATTTGATTAGTCTTTAGTGTCTTTCAGGACGACTAAGATAGTAATTTTTTCCGACTAGTGGGCATCTCCGATTATTTTCTCTTTGATATATTTTTGTGATACCAATGAAAGAACTTAATGCTATTTATAATTCCTAAGCTTTGGGCGCCTTGAGGTGGTGTAATGGTTAGCAAGCATGTCTCGCTAGATCAATTACAACTGAATAGTGAGTTCGGTGGTCGCTGGGTGCGCCATACTTTCGGCCTTGTGCCACATCTAAGCTACGCTTGGAAAATCGCTATAATCTCTAAGCTTAACTTAGTCACGAACAAGGCGAAAGTGGATTTAAAAAAATCATTTCACCCCAAGCCAAGTGATAATGCCACTAAGACGCAAGGGGATACTGAGAGTGACGAGAATAACAGAACATGATTCAGGAAGATGGCGGTTGACGTTGGATTAAATTTTGTCGAACCGGCAGGGAAACGAGAAACTAGAAGAGAGTTCCACAGGTGGGAAGTGCGCGAAAAGAAACTATTATAATAGAACTTCTGTTTATATCCAGGCATTTCAATTGTAAAAGGATGAGACCTAATTGCCAACCTAGTAGTACGCTCAAATTCATGCAGTCGAGGTACTAAAGAGGAATTCCTATTAGAAAATCTACAATGAAAACATTTGTAGAAAAGAGACAGGTAAGCCACATTACGGCGGTGGGAAAGTGACTGATTCCGAGATGCCAGGTCAGGACCGATAATATCACTGACTCTTCTTTGGATTCTGTCAAAAATATCGAGCTATAAAGCAAACGCACCAAATCAAATATGGCAGCAATATTCAATGCATGGATGAACGGTAGATTTATAAATATGCAAGATGGATTCCGTCGAGTAAATTGTCTGGTACAATACAATGACCCAAATTTCCGAGCAACAGCACTAGCAATTGATTCAATATAATCATCTTACTTCATGTCTGGTAGGAAGATTGTATTGCGCCAATCTTTTTTGCTAGAGAAAAACTTATCTGCTTTCTTAGATAAACAATATTCAATATTTTTAAAACTCGGTTTCATCACCGACTAATGTCACCAGTAGGAAATAGGCAACTATTTTAACCCTCGGGGCAATTACCTTAAACAACATCGCTACAGAAAAGTTAAGGGTAAGAATTCAAGTTGTGTGCATATGTGTGATATCAGAAAGTCCTCAAATTGTACGTAATGTAAGTGGACTGTTAAAAATAGTGCAAACATTTAACACTCATTTCTACCTTGTCTCTTGAGTCGGCCTGAGAATATGCTCCGGGATATCTATGCTTGGTTTTCTAAAGGTTGTGTCGGAACGGCTCTGCGATCTTGACGATATTTACAAATTCGTTCCTTCATCAAACTTCCGCGAATCTCGGCAATTCTGATACTCATGTAATGTTTGGTCAGGCTTTTATCCAGCGTTGTTTAGATTGAACACAGGCTTTTGAGGGAAACGCCTGCTTCAGGTCCGGTTGACTGTTAGTTCATGATGATGAGTATTCAGGGCGACCAATCACGATCAAAATGTAAAGAAAATGTGAAGAAAGAAAAATGTGAAAAAAAAATCCTGAACCTCTATCACGATCAAAATGGAAAGAAAATGTGAAGAAAGAAAAACTGAACAGGAACTAGAACTCGGCTCTCCGATTAACAATTCTGAGCCATTATCCATTATACAGCACCTAGTATTTCCAGGCGGTCACCCATCTAGATACTGACCAGAGTCGACGTTGTTTAACTTCGGTGATTGTTCTTAGAAAAGCTTGACTGTTTGCAAAAGAATTGCTTTGTAATTACTTGCATCTATCAGCTTGTTGTCAGAATATGACGCTTAAACCTTGACGGAGAATATTTTAGATCATTTACATGGATATTAGCAGATATTTAACAGAAATTAAACAATTTCGTGAACATTATTACATTACCATCGTAAAAGTAGTTGAAAATGTCTTTGAATAGGTACTGTATAGGAAGTTGTAGAAAACGTATTGTTGTATAGTTTCACTCCGAGCAAAGCAATAAAGCCACTAAGATGCAAAGGGTTACTGAGTGTGAAATAATATAAGAAAAAAAAAAGAAAAGTTTATTAAGGCCAGAGAGAACAATAAAAGAACAGAAATTAAGAAGACAGGAGATAACGATTGATATTGCATTTAAAATTTTGAAGATCACAGTTGACTAGAGAGGAAGAAGCTGGAAGAGAGTTCCATATCCGAGAAAGTGAGAGCGAAGGAACTGTTAGTTTAGAAATCACGGTTACATCCAGAAGTTTCAACTGTAAAATGAAGAGGTGCCGTTCATCTAGCAGTAGGCTTAAAAGTCCAGGTACCAAAGAGAAAACAATTACTACACCCTTGTGCAAATTAATTATACAGGAAGATGTGGAAGGCCATGATCACCTACACCATTGTGCAAATTAATTGAAACAAAACAAATAATTCCGTTATTATTTACATCTTTTTCGTATTTTCTAATAAAACATGACCCACTGCACATGTCAGTACTCCGTATGTCCATTCCACTAAGTTTTTTCTTGACCACAGATTCTGATTGGATTTAAATCAGGAGAGTTTCCAGGCCAGTCTATAGTACTTTGATTTGCGCACTGGTAAGGCTTGCTAGTGTGTTTGTGCAGCGTTACAATTTTCGTACATTTCCTTGGAGTAACGTTCATTGCAGACAATGGCTGTAAGACAAGTAATTGACAGTCAAGACAATAGTGTCTTTGTGTGATAAAAATCTGATGCAATCACAGACGACTCAATATTTTTCAAGGCCAAACAATTTTCATCATACACCCCGCAAATAGATTCATATTACTGCACACCACTGCGAATAGCCTAATCTGAGGAAAAAAATAGAAATCAATTACAACCGGTCACTCTAAAGGGTCTAAAACTGACCGTATGGTGAAAGAAATGAAACTAAAGCGGTTGTTTCAATTAATTTGCAGAAGGGTGTATTGAAAGTAATTTAAGTAAGCTACGTTACGGCTGTGGGAACAAGGAATACCAGGTCAGGACCGGTGACCTTGCTGTTTCTTCTTTGGATTGTATCAGCAATCTCTTAATATATATCAGGAACACCAGACCAGATGTACGGGGTATTGTCTTCATAAGATCGGATGACAAAGAAAAAAAAATAGATTCATCTTATATGTTAGAAATATTCAGACATTTATTAATATATGTTCGCCTGTTTATTATATTTTTTCATATAGAAATTAATATTACTACGAATGTTTAGTTGATATTTTACTGAACGGAAATGAAAAACGGGTACGAAATATAATTTCAATCAGATATCCTACTGCTTTCTGGCACATTGGAAAAATTAATATGCCGATACGCGAAATTCGACAGATTGAGGAACACTGGTTTATATTTCAGGACTAAAGCAAGACAGGTAAACAAAAAAATTACCGTATATACTCGTGTGAAAGTCGACATCATATATATGGGACTCCTTTGAAAATATAAGAAGATCGATGTATTTATATCGAAGAACTTGTTAAGTAACCAGGTGAGATCGGTAGTTTTCAAGGCATGCAATCAGGCAATATTGATTTCGAAGATATTTATATTGGCGTTTCTGTTATTTGGCATTGTGCAACAGTAAGTTAAACTTAGTGTATACCTAAATAGATTTTATTTTGGATTAATGTAGATAAATGTAAAAGAATAATAATGAAATTAATTATGTGATAATAAAAAAACAATAAAAATGAAAAAAAATCTCTTTGAATTAATGTCATATTAATTCAAAGAGATTTTTTAAAAAATTCTCATTGTTAAGGTAGATTTGAGTTGCTGTTGAACTTTAATATCGGTATTATAAATTTTTCTGAAAGGAAATTTATATCCTAATGAAGATAGTTTCTTAAAGGTCAGAAAATAGATAAAACGCCAAACTGAAATAATATTAATACTAATAATACTAATAATACTTATAATAATAATAGTAGAGAAAACATTTGCAAAAAGAGACATAACACAATAAAAGACAACAAAGAGTCATGTATCACGTAATATAGGCTTGTTGCAGAATTTCTGTTTAAGCATTCCACCACCTGTTGGAAGTCCGGCGCCGGGAATTACTGGAAAACCGGCCGCGTCCTGTAGAAGTCGAGCCGGAATTGCTCCTAATGCTGGGCACCTGTCGTTGCTGATTGGTGGAACTCGAATCGGCAGGTCGGCTCATGCACCGGTTTTGCCGGAAGTCGCACTGGAGCCATTCAGAGCCGCAGCTGGGGCGCTGGCGGGAACAAGTAGGAGTCGCTGCACAGCGGTAAAAACTTTCTGAAAAATATTCATGTATGGCGTGCCGAATTAGAAGCCAACCAAAACCAAGCCGAGAGTTTGGAGCATGGAGTCGCTGTCCAAACGAAAACTCCGGGTAGTCACTGCTGGGGTCGATACCATTGGCCTTCTGTTTCTCGCGGAAGTTCTCCCACAGACAGTCAATGTAGGCATGGTGCATCCAGAACATTGGGTCATAGCAGGCTGATTCAATCCGTCGCATTTGACCGCCAATCCACACGTGTACTTGGTTGTGCATTTCCTCGACGTTGGTCCAGTTCGGGGCGTTCGGGAAAGTGATGTCTTCTAAATGGAATCGGGACATGACGTTTCGTTCGTCCCGACTTGTCATCAGCGACCCGCCTCGGGCAATATTCCGGCGCAGGAGACCGTGCGGTGTATTCCATCCACGGAAGGGGCCTGTGTTAACCAGTCCTCGTCCGTTTCCGACAAAATCTGCCGAAAACATAGAAGATCTGGAAGGATCTGGCATGCTGCTGTCGAGGGTGTTGTTCCAAAACGGAACGTAAACTCCAGGTACTACCTGGTTGAGCGCATTTTCAAAACTGAAAAGAAAATCAATTCGCAAATTTAAAATACAGGGTGTGCAAAAGTAGATATACAGTAATGTTAAACATAATGTACGCACTAAACGTATTGTATTGATTATACAAATATATCATTAATAACATATCAATAATAAGCATCCCAATCCCTCAAATATTCGAACTGTTTGCTTCAGGCATTCACATACTACTCTTTACCTTTAATACATTTATTATTATTATTTTTTTTTTAATCATCTCACCCCAAGCAAGGCAAGAATGCTGCTAAGAGATACAGGGAGTGAAAATGAAAAACAAAACTGAAAACAAGGACGATTTTGGGAAAGGACTAAAGTTGAATGGCATTCAAGAAGATAGAAGATGGCGATTGACGTTACATTTAAATTTTTGAACATTGTAGTTATCAGGAAAGCAAGTAAACGGAAGGGAGTTCCACAGGCGGGAAGTGCGAGAAAAGAAACTGTTGGAGTAGAAGTGGCGGTTACGTTTAGCTAGCTATTTCATTAGTAAACTGATAGGACCTAGATGCCAATTTAGTAGCACACTTAAATTCATGTGATCGGGGCACCAGAGAAAAAAAAAAAGCTCACCAGAGCAGTTGCCATGAAAACCTTTGTAAAAAAGACCGAGGGAAGCCACTTCACCTCGGTGAGAAATTGATTGATGTAGAGATGCCTGGTCAAGATCGATTACATCATTATTATTTATTAAAAAGTAAAAATTATAATAAATGTATAAATTATGAAATTAAAAATGATTTTAAGGAATTAAATATATCCTAGAATCACTATTATAATACTAGCAATACTGATATAATACTTACTATATACCTACTTTTGCAGACCCCCTGTACATTAAAAATATATATATTACACAGGCGATCAAAGTAGGTACATAAACTTTCACAATTCATCGAGTCTGGAAGAATCCTTAACAGAATGCAGAAAGCATTGGACGCCTTATTTTTATGTCTCATCAGCAGTGCGCTGTTTACTACTCAGAATCGAAATCGGACCGTTACGATATGAGGTAAGTGTCATACCCACTGGACCAACAAGTCCCGGGGGAGATAGCGAGGTAACAAACCAGACTTGATATAGCGTCAGCTATTCGTTATATCGAAACAAATCAGACTCGATATAGTGAAGAGCTGACGCTATATCAAGTCTGGTTTATTGCCACTTCCTCACCTAGACCCGTTAGTCCAGTGGATATGGCATTTGCGACATATCGTAACCGTCCTGTTTCGATTCTCGGTTTGGTTTACTTTGTTTTACGGCATATCAACCTCAATGGGTTATTTAATGCCGACAAAATTTTATATTGCTGGTAATATTTTGTTTTGTCAAAAATCTGTTTTTGGTAATATTTTCCTACAAAATTGTATTGTGGTAATAATTTATTTAAAAAAAGTATTGCCAGTAATAGTTAACTATTTGCCCATAGCTGGGACTCTAACAGGTGTTACTACCCCGGGTCAGGGTGGACCCGGGAACACGAGTAATTAAGAGGCGGTTCCACCCTCATCAAAACCTCCTGATCAGAGGCCTTGCTGCTGGACATAGTTTATCGTCTTACACAGGACGCGGATGTAGTTTAACGTGTAACCCAGGATGACGATTCTCGGTAGTGGATGATGATTCCCAGTCCCACGAAACGGCGACCATTGCTTTCTGCATTCTTTTGGGGATTCTTGCAGACTCGATGAATTATGATTATTCAAATCACCCTTAATTTGTGTGTGCATATATATATATATATATATATATATATATATATATTAAAGACATTTTTTTTATTATATTTAACGTTTGTTATTTTATAGATACAAGTATTTAAGCAAATGCTCTGTTTATGATAAACAGTATTAAATAACATTTACCGGCCTGAATGTCCGAAATTTTCATAGAAAATATTCGTTCATTGACAGGATTCGAACCTGCATCCTATACGGAACCGTCATTTACACAACCTCTGGGCCACAATGAACCTTATGGTAGACAAGGTCAATTTACTGTTTATAAACTACAATCTTCCATGAATCTCGTACATTCATAACTGCTCTGGCATATGTTTCATTGTGGCCCAGAGGTAAGGCACGTCAGCGTAAATGACGGTTCCGTATAGGATGGTGTTCGAATCCTGTCAATGAACGAATATTTTCTATGAAAATTTCTCGGACATTCAGGCCGGTAAATGTTATTTAATACTGTTTATCATAAACAGAGCATTTGCTAAATACTTGTATCTATAAAATAACAACGTTAAACATAAAAAAAAAAATGTCTTTAATAAATAAATTGTCGGACCTTGTCCATTTCTTAACATATATATATATATATATATATATATATATTAAGGTTGTTATATTTAAGTAAATGCTCTGTTTATAATAAACAGTATTAAACAACATTTACCGGCCTGAATGTCCGAGAAATTTTCACAGAAAATATTCCTCCTCCGGCAAATGTTGTTTAATACTGTTTATTAAAAACAGAACATTTACTAAATGTTTTATCTATAAAAGAATGTATAAACATAAAATGTCTTAAAATAATTGTCGGACTTTGTCCATTTCATAATATATATATATATATATATATATATATATATATATATATATATATATATAAGAAATATAGTCTTAAGATGTGCTATATTTATGGGATAAAGTTCAATATCAGAGATAGAGCGTGTGTAAATATAAAAGTGAACATAAAGTCAACACTTAGAGGCGACAGTCTGTTTCATCCTAAATGCAATCGTGTGGCCTGATGATTGCATCTAGCATGAAACAGACTGTCGCCCTATATGACTTTATAAAATGTATATATATATATATATATATATATATATATATATATATATATATATATATACATATATCACTGCTTGAAACGGCTTCTAATGTTATAAGCAGGATCCGATGAGTCACACGACAGAATTTGTGAAGAGTTTGATCTCGCTGAGTCAATTACAACTAAGATCGTCACTGTGTGCCCATACTTTCAGCCTCATCTAAGCTACGCTTAGAAAATCATCACAAATACATAGATGCTCTTAAACTATCGAACGTACCTTGCCCGTACGGTTATTAATTTTTTTTAGAATTAAGAGACTCCTTGCTTCATTTGAACCGCCCCTTGTTTAGAACTGCAAGACGCCACAGACAATGCAAAAAGGGGGAAAATGAATATTTATTGATCAATTCTTACCCTTTGAAAAATATTTTCTATCTTCAGAAAAAAAAGACACTCCTTTTACTTGAATACTCCAGTTGAAAGAGCCCCCTTTCTTATTAGGAACGAGAACAGTCTATCCACGTAGATTAAATAATGGGTTAAGTTCATAATTCCCTGTAGGTTACCAAGATCGATATACGCCTGAGGAAGGCCGGAGGGAACGACGATCGAAACGTTGTGATAACAACAACAAAAATGAGGAGAACAGTCCGAATATAAATAGTGTGAATAATACAAATTTCTATATGCCAGAGCAAAGGATATTCGTGTTCGAATTCCAGTCGGGTTTGTTAGGTTACTTACACACAAATCAGGAAAGGTAGGAATACCTCTCCCCAGCTATGGGTTAAATAGCAGAACGTGTATCTGGAAAAATCATTGTTATTCTCGAAAGATTCTTATTGCAATATTCACTCGCCAAATAACGAATTTTTTTAATAATCCAAAATAAGCTTTGGTTTTAAGTAATCCACAAAAAGGTTGATAAGCTGTAAAAAACCTCAATCAGTTAGCATCAGAACAATGTTAGGCTGTTGAATGACAAAGTTGAAAAATTCTGTGTAGCACGTTTCTTCTCCTGGAAGTACTTCATCAGACTAAAGTAATGCTTTTATTTATGGACTTATATATATGCAAGGTGTGGAGAGGGAGGCTTAAACACAAGCGTCGGCTGTAATTATACACAATGTATGCATATATATATATATATATATATATATATATATATATATATATATATATATTGTATGACACTTTGGTACGTGAAAAAATCCCATATTCATTTTCTGGTGACGTAGAAATAATTATTTAATTCATAAAGTATTGGATATAAAAGAAAATGCACATGTTAAAAGAAATCTCAACAAATTGAAAACTTCAATATACCGTTGGTACGGGTAAACTATATGTTGTGGATTCCGGGATGAAATCCGGTCTCAAAATGAATGACAAACGCAGGAATGAAATATAGCAAATAAATGTATTGACGTAATAATACAATTAGTAATACGGTTAGTAGATCCAGAAATGCAGTTAGTAGCAATAATAATATATATATACAGTCTGGAAATTCAGTATCAAGTAGGACTTCTTTCTGAGTCTACGTGCTCGCAACTGTGACTCCTACAAAGCTGTTACCTCACACTGTCATTCTCTCAACTCCCGGTTATTCACCGGCAGCAGTACAAGTACACACTGGGCGAGTCCACTTGTATAAAAAGGGGTGGAGCCCTTAACACTAGAATAATAATAATAATAATAATAATAATAATAATAATAATAATAATAATAAATTCAAAATAGAGTTTCAAATGGGCGCAGAAATACAAGTAAAGCGCAATACACCGGCTGAAGCTGCAAAATACTTAAAAAAGAAAGCAAAGACAACTGCAACCGACCAGATACAGAAACAATGGCAAGATAAACCGCTTCATGGCCAATACTCTGCCCGTAGCAAACAAGCTGACGTGGACAAACCCCGTACCCATCAGTGGCTACCGTAGTGCAGGGTTAAAAGCTGAAACGGAAGGTTTTATCCTTGCTGCACAGAATCAGAGCTTGTTAACTAGAAATTATCAAGCACACATACTAAAATATAGTATTAGCCCAAAATGCAGGTTCTGTGATAATTACCCAGAATCAATTGATTATCTTGTATCAGG